TTATCACGAAATTATCAGTATAATATATGGTCAAAATTAATTGTAACAAAAAACACTCTCTTTAGATAATTATTAAATACCGTATAACAATTTTCAAATAAGGTAAGCGCTTGTACATATCTTTGAAAGATAGAAAGATCCAATATAGAACTATATTCGAAATTCGTTTTTACATGCGCAATAACGATACGGCACTGTGACATTGTTATTATATATTATCTGTATGTAGTAGTCTTGATTCCCTATAATCATTAGCATGTAGACTTATCTTCCCTACCAATTTTGGAATGATGAGAAAGAAGTTTTTACACGTAACAGACATATAGTAAATTATGCACCAAGGGAGCACTGTGGGCAATGGAAATGAAACATGACACAGTACGTGTTCTGCTTACTGTACTCACGTGATACATAGATGATTTTTCCACATATGCTCATAAAGAGTAATGCAACGTCCTTAGCAGGCGACATATAGTCGCATTGACTATCTAAAAGTAAAGTACGTTGTGCACACGCGATGTATTTTATTTTCAGACTGTCCATGAAATTCTTAGCCTCTTACTAGAATGGCGCACAGTCATCACTTTGCGAGCAGTGTAAGGAAATGAAAATTTCCAAATTATAAAAATTATCATATGCTCGAAGCTCAAACCTACGATATCTTGCACAGAAGCTTGAACTCTTACCTACTAAGCACTATCAATTATAAAATAAAATAAAATGTTTATTCTATGATATATTTACCAAATTATTTTTAAAAACTGAAAATTTGTTGCATTGTAATAAATTTTCAGACAGTTGTCCTTTCTTAGTAGTCTTTTCAATACTGCGTCGAACTGTTAAGTGTTGTTCGGTCATTAAAGTCGTATGAGAGTTAGAGCGCGGGCATTAAGTTTACATCTCGAGAAAATTCGCTATAATCCGATATTTTGCAGTTTCCATACAATGTCACAGTCATCTACGTTATTTCAAATCATGGCCTAGGGCGGATGACCTTTATTATTGTCACAAACTATGTATTGAGAAAAAATAATAAAATTTACAACACTATGTCGATGAGACACCGCTATACAATGAATAATTTTTTAATCATTTTAATGCATATTTCATCAATTATTATTAACCTTATCCATCCTCGTATCTAAATAAATGAATAAAAAATCATATTTTTCAATAAAAAGTTAAAATTAATCGAGTATAACAGTTTGTACATATTTATTAACTAGTAATATTTATTGCTCTTCGTGCGCTCATCTTTTTTTACATTCATTTTAACGCTCGACTATAGGTCAAAATTTGTATTAGCAAAAGTGAAAATTCGAAGATTTAAGATGCATTAAACATTTCCTTGATTTGATATGAGCCGTCGATATTATTTATTGGCAAATAAATATAGAGTTACGTTGATATTCATGATTTGAAAATGTTATCGATGAAGTTTTAAGTTGTTATTATCCCAAGTTCTGTGTAAAAAAATTATCATTTAAAAGTTTGAATAACACGATAGAAAACGTATTATAAGTTCTAAGAACATAATAGTTTTCTATGGTCATATCCTTCACGACGTAACTAATATACTTTGGTATAGAACGTTCACGATTGTAATTAGTGCCTTTACAAAACAATTTTCTAATATTTTACGTAACTTAATAAAACCGAAATCGCTGTACAATATTTTATCGTAATAATCTATCAATTTATATCTTTTATTGCTTACTTTGTTTATTTAAAGCTAAACATAGAACTCATACGCATAGAGCAAAGTTCAATTAATTTCTCTATCGAGGTATCAGACGGTTATTATTTTTAGATCAGTATTATTAATTAAATCAATTCATAAAAATTCGTCAATGAACCTACGTCATCGCGAAGAGCTAATATTTTAGAGAATTGTTTAAAGATGTCTCAGTGATGCAAACAATAATGAAAACAATACAACGCTTGTATCAGTAAAAGCAATCATGATAATCGTTACGTTAAATTTTGAACAAAAGTCAATACGTTCATATTTTATGCATAATTATTATCGTCTGATTCACTTAACATCTTAAATGATCATTAAAACTTCCTGATCCTATAGACTCTAATGAATATACAGTTTTTTTTCTATTTTTAGTGAGTTCTATTAAACTCACTACTATTTAAACATTAATTTTTGACTAATGTAACCAGACATATAATTAGTTAAGTGAATTCTGTATCGAGATGATCTCTCGCATGAATAGTAGTTTTTCAACGCTTGACAAATTTTTCAATCAAAAACATCATTTTTAGCAAGATATTTCATGAAAAATTTTCCAGATTTTTTGCGTAAACTATTTAATTTGTAATTTACTTGGGAATGATTCATCAATATTTTTAATAAGGTATTTTTAATTAAAAATTAAGTTTTATTAAACAAATAATAAATCAAAAAAGTTTCGTGGATTTATTGACATAAAAATACATCAAAATTAATTTTAACTACTAAGTTCAGCAAACTTTAGCTAATGAAATATAGAATGTTGTTGGTCAAATGAACAAGTTATTTGCTATTTATATGGATCTCTCAATTCACAGGAATGAAATTTATCTTTATTTCAATAAGCAATAAATATTTTAATAAACTAATTGTAATGATATTTCAACTCGTCGGCAATTCGAACTATTAACGCTTATATCAAATTATAATAACACAGATCTGCATGATTTTGTGCTTGACCAACCCGAAGTAATGTTTTGCGTAGAATTTGAATCCGAAGTTAAAATTTATCCATCACATCAGATTTTTTAGATTCTAATTTAAAAAGGCGAAAAAGGTGGTTTTTTTGGTATATTGGAGGTCCTGTAACATCGTAGAAAAAATTATTTTTCTTTATAAATGGAAAGTACTGACTGAAAAGCCAACTATTACCCTTCAAAATCCATTGTTCAGATTTAAGATACCGTTTTTATCCATCGAGATATCGTTGTTTGAAGTTAAATATTTTCGTATATACTATATATGCGTATTCGGGAAATTATCTATTTCGAAACTGCTAAAATACTTGATTTCAATCAACGATATCTCTATGAAGAAAAAAAGATAATTCAAATCTGAACAATGAATTTTGAAGGGCAAAAGTTGGCATTTCAGAGAGTTCTCTCTGTTTATAAAAATAAAACATTTTTTTTCCAATGTTATAGAACCAACCTCAAATATACCAACAAAGACCTTTTCCGCCTCTTTCGATTAGGATATCTATAAAATCTAACGCGATGAAAAATTCTAATTCTACGTAAAAAATTACTTCAGAAATGACCCTAGTCGGCGAAGAGCAATTACAAACCCTTATTTTGCAAATCTACGTAATCAATTGTAACCATTTTCTAAATAAATTTTTTAATACAATTCCACATTAATACATGTTCCACATTAGTATACATGTTAATAGACTAATTCAATTTCATACCAATAATAATTCTTCATCAGATAAAATACAAAGAATTTTAAGAAATGTTATTTTACATTCTTAATTTATTTGTTTGTATACTTTTCACAAAACAAAGAATACAATCAACATAAACTATAGCATTTATAAAATAGTTTAACAAAACAGCGTTGTTAATTAACTTTTAAGAATATAATTATTTAAGAAAAACTAACCAATGAGTAAATCAAATTAATAATATTCTACGAAAAAAATTGTGATGGTAATCACGATATTGAAATAAAAATTAATTTTTGGAACATCATAAATATAGTGCGCGTGTAAATGAATTATGCTCTAGAACTAAATGCATGAATCATTCAGTGTAGATTTCGTAATAAAATTGTTCTTATTCGCTTTTTTTATTGTGATAAAGATCACCGAATGGCAATAAAAACTGAAATTGAAATTCTATACCCTTAAAATGATCACTTTTCATGTGATAATTTAGTAGGAAAAAATGCTTATCATATAATTCAATTAAATCTGATATAATCAATTTCTCCACATAAAAGCTAATAGAAATAATTATATGAAAAAAATTTTCTTTTGTTAAAAGCTTAGTAGAATTTTTTGCTGAATTAGTTGATGTCTACATTTTTATTAAGTAAAGAAAATTCAAACAAAATTCAAATTTGAATTGTTATTTGCTTTATATGTATACACAAACGCATACGCATGCACACGCACGCATACCCATACGAATAAAGAAACAAACAAACATAATATCGATCTATTAAATTATAACACATAACATCAAATGTCTGTGAAAAACTGAATAAGATATTAATAGTATTTAAAAATTTTTCCGCTGTATATCTATACTAAACAGGATTATTTGTATCACCGATATTTAAATTTTAATAGGCTTACTAGACGAACTGCAGGGTAGTTATAAATCAAGTAAGTTTACGATGTCTCAGTTGGATGCTGAAAGGTAAAAGAAAAGAAGAGAGGAAGTGAAAGAGGAATAGAGAGAGAGAGAGAGAGAGAGAGAGAGAGAGAGAGAGAGAGAGAGAGAGAGAGAGAGAATTGTCAAAATTGAGATGAAAAGGAAGTCTGAAACAGAAGAAGCAGACTTAAATATATTAATAGAAAAACCTATATATATATATATATATATATATATACATATACACGCAGACATCTTTTTTTAAAAATATAATATATACATGTTTTTTCCTACAAAAATATACGTGACAATACTAGCCTTTCTAAAACGCGCATAAGATTCAATCTATATTTCATTTTGTATTTAGAAATATAAAATAAAACTGTTAAGACACTAATTCCTGATGTTCAACAATTTAGAAACAGGAAAGTAGCCTATAACATGTGATTTATGAGTGCCATTCATAATATACTTTCTACAGATTCTGCAGCAGGTAGAATCGTATATCATTGGAAAGCAAAACTACTTTAGTTTGATAAAAAATCATACATTTCCGTTATGTAGAACAAATCACTCATAAGAATGTGAAAAAATCATAATAACAAAGAAATATAGTCAGCTTAAAAATTAAAATATCTTTTTAGTTTTTAAAATCTTACCTTGGAAAGGATACGCAGGAAAACAAGGTCGCATCATCGAATAATTTGAGTTAAGCGAGGTAATCGTCATCTCACTCTCAAATTACGATAAATTTCCTGCCGCTTTACAGTACTAATAATGTTGTTATACTTCAGTTTATATACTAATACACATCCACATACTTATCACTGTGCATTGATGATATTTGAACGCTATGCAGTTATTGCTATTACGATACATCATACAACTTTGCATAGTAAGACTGTGGTTTTAATTATATCATTATTTTATTATATATATTATCATATTTCAAACAAACGTGAATCAAATGAAGTGCATAAAGCAAAATGGGTTAACGTTAGCTAGAGAAGTATATCTCATTTCCAAGCAACTTGTTTAAGCTGCTGAAGCGGTAAGACTGTTAGCTCAGTGCTCTTGGGCGGACGATGAGAGTTGAAACCGCGCCTACTAAAAGCAAGAGTAGGACGTACAAGCATCCCTACTCTTGATGCCTGTGTTTGGTAGCGCAATAGTAGTAGCACTTGGGCTGTACAGGGGCCGGTCGAGTGCGACCTCCAAAGCCCCACCATAGTATTGAAGAACGGCGGCCTTTTTGATCCCACCGGCGGTCTTGTATAAAAGGCCCATCATGTGCTCAAACGTCAAGCCAATAGGGACCCTTTTAGCTACTCTATCGTGGCACAACGCTCTAAAGAGCCTGGCATACCCGGCGGTCCAAGACACGCCTACCTATAGCTTAGACTATCTCTCTTTTTTTCTGTCTCTTTCCATCTTTTTTCTTCTCTTCCTGAAATGTGCCCTACCGCAGAGCACATCATGATGCATATGCTATTTGGGTACGAATATATTCATTTTGCTGCCTAGCTCAACGCTAGGCTCAAGCTTGTCACTCTATCCTGTTCAACAGATACAATGAGTGCATTCATGTATTATTGCTATATAACTTAACACACAAAAAAAACAAGAAATATTCTTTACTTTTTTGTTATACAAATATGTATACGTAAGCAAACACATACATAGGCACATATAAAACGAAAGAATGAAAATTGCGTAGCATAAATACGCCATATTGATGCATATTGCTTACCCTCTACTCCATTACCCGCTCGCTAATTCGCATGTTACGTTAAAAATCTCTGATTTTAACGTTCATACTCTCATATTTCTTGTGACATTATTACTGAAGAATTTTGTTCTTACATTAAGTTCTTAGTAGATAAGTTTACTATAACTTTTGTCAATTTGTACAACATGCGCTCTTGTATGTAATCCTTGTGTATAATACTAATCCTTTTCAACCATAAGCATATAACATAGAACAAAATTACAATTTTCAATTTAATTTTTTACTTGATTCTCTATATCTTTTATTGATCATGGTAAGTATTAAGTCATTTCCTAATATGTTCTTTCTTTTCAATTTCTTGTTTATTTTTTTATACTTTTGCATTGAATATACATACAATGGAATCTATACGGAACAGTTGATTGAAGTAAGGTATTCCAATTATAAATTTATACAAATATTTGTTATCACTTTGGGTATGTTTGTTATTTATTTGATGTTATAATATTTTTCAAAATACTTGAATCATAATAATGCAATGTTTGATCATTTTACGGGACGAGCTTTTATTAAATAAACAACATGCATCATAAAATAAATGTTCAAATGAATAACTTTATACAAACAACATTATCTTTGGAAAAATACAGAAATTTATTCTTATATTATGTAATCTGATTCCAAAATATGGTATAATACTTCATAGTATCTTTAGGCTATAATAGCAAGATGATATACATATATCACTGTTACGTTTGCATATCAACACTTAGTCTAAGCAGTTTACTATTTTAAACACAGATTCTAATATCAAGAAGCATCAATTATCTGTTTAAAAATTTATAGTATTGATTTGAAACTTTTTATATTATCCTTTTGAAAAACTTGACTAAGCCTACCATACAGATAAAAAAATGCTACGAAAATTATTTTTACTATTATTAGCATATTTTTTTATCCATTCGGCAGATATTTACAGATCTTGCGGAATTTAATTAAGTTTGATTATTCTATTGATAAAAATATTAAAAAGCTTATTATATTACGATTAATAAGCTATTTTTTATTTAATAAATGTATATCAGCGTTAATTTGTTCGTTACATTATTTCTATGTTATTTTACATAATTTATTTTAATTTTACTTATTTATCAATAATGTATTTTATCTTCTTAATACACCTATAAAAAAAATTCAATATTACTAAAGTCTTGCTTACATAATAAATTAAGTGAGAACTTCTTGAAATCCTAACTTAATGGCTGAATCGATTCGTGCAAATACCAACACTACATGATTTGATTTTATTTATATTTACCATATTAATTATAACGTTAATAGTATCTGAAATCATTTTAATTTAATTTATAAAATAAATAATATTTACTAAAGATTGCAATATGATTGACGCGATGTAGTCTACACGTTTCTATAGAAAATAATTAAAAAATGAATGTCATGGAATATTCTAAACGTATTAGTTTGTTTTATTTTTCACTAATAAAGTTTATACATAAATTTTAACACACCATATACTACTAAATAGCTTAGAAATGTTAGAAATTCTGATGTTGCAGTTAATATGTACTCGTATGCGTCGCGTATGACCGAGGTAGCATTTACTTTTAAAAGGTAAAACACCTTTTCAGAAGTCTCTTATCGGGTTCTCTTACTTTTTATACTTAAGAAAAAGACGTAATTTTAGAGTGTTATAGTTTCGACTGGATATCTTATATTGATTTCTTTATGAAAATTACAGAAGTTGGTTTTCTATTAGAAATATCTAAACGTCGTTATGAAAAATAATCACGTTAGATATAAATCCAAAAATAAGTGACAATGTTACTGACATTGTTAATAAATTTAATTTAAAAATATGAGGTGCAAAGTAAATGATATAGGCCAGATAAAAAGCTTTTAAGTTAAGAATAGCTTAATATATCAATGATAAAGCAATTTTGTCAGTACAAAACATAAGAGGCACTAATTTTGGAAAAATATTCATTTAAGATAGAAAATCTGTTTATATCAAACTACTTTCAGTTGAAAAAAATTTAAGCAAACAAATGTTCAAAACCTTAGTGTCTATTATAAAAGTCTCTATCAAAATTGTCTTGTTTTATCAATTTATAGTTTCAGTTTTAAAAATATATCTTTTCTTCTCTCCCGTACCCGCCTCCTACCAGCATCGTAATACATAGTATGTAGCAAACACTTGTTCACTCTTATGACCATTGAGTAACTTTATATTATTTTTATTTTATTACCCAGCGCGTGCAGTAATTCAATACAATACCGAGAAACTACATAGATAAGTTAAATTTCGACTTGAACGCATTTGAAATATAAGAGTTTTTTCCTTTTCTACGTACTCTTTGTTAATTATAGTGCAGGTTATCTAGTAATTCTTATATGTACTTTTTAATTTGTATGTAATAACTACGTATGTCTTTATTCCACAGATGACTTGAATAAGTCGCCAGATAATAGTTGATAAAATTTCGCAAAGAAAATTTTCTCATTTTTTTCCACTAGAAAAACATTCTCAGATGGATGAGTCGATTCATTAATCGACTTTTTCATCAGCTATTAAATATTTTTAGTATATTTAAAAAAATTGAATATATAATCATAACGAATAGAATATTTCATGAAAATAATAATTATTTATGCAGTTTTTTTATTTATTTAGCAATAGTCACAACCTGTGGTATGAAAACCAAAAACGTGTTTACTCGTGACATTATTCGCTGTATACTGCAAGTTGGAGGAGGTAAACATACTAGCTGTAAGCGCTCATGGCAATATCGCTAAACATAAATAGAAAATTTTACATACTAAAACTTTGAAATAATGAGCCACAACAGCTGCTGTATATCTGATTATAAAAACACACGTTCAAAGAGTAACGGTAACTTTCATAAATTTCCTAAAAATCAACATAAATCAAAACAAAGAAACTAATTAATTCATGCCGTACAGAGAAAAAAGTAAGTGTACATAATTTTATTTTCAAGGGTCTCAAAGGTTATATCTCACCGAAACGTGTGCAACTAGCATCGTCGTGCCGTCACCAATATTCTTATGCGTCATAGTAACGCGATACCTCTTTTAAAGAGACGAAAATATCCGGGACGCGGCAGCGATGCAGCCTGCCATTCACTGTCGATGCGACTTATTGTTACGCTGCATGGCAACCCGTGTAGAAATTTCCCTGCTTGATCCTTAGGTTTAAGCGCGATTCTGGCTAGATTTCCCCAAGTTCTTTGTTTTTATATTAATCGTACAGGAATCGGGTCAGAAAATCCTAAAATTATTAAAGAGGTTTAAGAACACACGTTTTCCCCATTTGAATCTAATAAGACAATCGCACCGTAATTTTAAGCTTTGAGCACACACGTTATTCTTGCCCGAATCTGGGTAGGCATTCACATTTGCAATAGAGCGAAAAAATAATTTAAGGTTATGTTTTGATAACTGGAATCTGATCGAATTTTTCCTTTTTTGAATATGTATAACAAATCTTGTGTTTTAACTGATGGATTAAATTTTCAAACGATAATCACGTAAGTACAACTTTATATTCATAATTCTGTAAATATCTACAAATAACATATTTTTAACATATATAGAAATATACATATTAGACTAGAAAAAGAAAAATATGCAATATGCAAGAATCAAACTCAGACGATGTTAAATAAAAAAATAGGGATAGGAAACGACGGTACCGATTGATAAATAATGAGGTTAACATTCATATTACTCGTGCTAAAGTAGCTTTTAACTGTAAGTTATACTAAAATAATTAAAAAGTAGTAAATTGTAATTTAAATTTTGCACATAAAACGTTGATTTAATATCATACACAGATGAACAAATTTAAAAAAAGTCTAGATGCGATAGACGACATCCAATCGTTGACTCGACTTCAAAAAACTTCATTGATTCAGAAAATTTACTTAACGAACTGATTAAAAAGCAAAATAATGTAGATTTCTGCGATAAACAAAAAGATTTTGAACAAAAATTTGTTAACGAGGTAGAAAATTGCGAAGAAATTCAACAAATTACTATCGACATTACAGAAAATGTTTTGATACCAAAGAAAAAATTGACGAAGTACAAAAACTGAAAGAATGGGCAATCGAACGAAACATAGATTATGTAGCATTGGATGAACTCTTATTAATATTGCATGAAAGGTTAATGCCAGAATTACCTAAGACATCTAAAACATTTCTAAATTTAAATTTTAATTATGACATTAAAAAAATTGAAAATACTGACCGTGTAATGTCATACG